CATTTATTATATAACCACAACTATTCGTTATAAAACGGAATATTGGTATTTGGGCTCCCGGACAAAAGTAAAGCAACAAAATTATTGTTGGAATCAAAAAACTTTTGTGATTAAAATTATTAATTTCAACAAAAATATTTGACACAGACTTAAACAGCAATAATTGGAACTAACGCGTTACTAAAATTTATTTGCAAACGTTGAGAAATTGCAACTTTTAAATTATATTTTTGGTCAAATTTGAGGTAAACGCTTTTAGAATTCTGCCTATCATGCATTGCTTACTACAATCACTTGTGTACAAATACGTCGGCCGATTTCCTGAGCTTCAGTTCTGGAAATTGTGCAGTGGCCTGCACAACTTTAAGGTTATTTCTTCTCAAAACAACTTCCATTTTTTTCCAACGGATTTTCCATCGTTGCCCTGCTGCACATAAAACGCCATGCTTATTCTGCACAATATTCGGTGTGTCATTGATTCATGAATGAACATTTGTCTCAGTAATAAAGTGTATAGGACCTACCCTATTCCTTGAAAAGCAACCCCATAAAAGGCCACTAAACAACTCCGCGTTTATTATTCTTCGAACTGTTACATAACAACGGGACTGTTCGCATAACAATAATAATTTCGGATTGAAGTACATACTTCTAAAAGTCGAATTGAGATATCCGTTTTACATGTAAACCGCTCCAAACAATTGTTTTCATTGTTTTTCTTTAAATATCCCCTTTTGACACACGGTTAAATTATTTTATTTAGCTTTAACTAGCGGGATAATTTCCTTCAAATATAAGCTTTTCACCTTCAGGTATCACCCTCCATGAATGCATTTGCTACTTTTATATTCAAAAGAGTCCTGTGAATGTGAAATTTTCTTTTGCAACACTAATTCTGATTTCTTCCACATTTGTTTCCATTTAGTCCTGTTAGACAATTTATTAATATGCTTTTTTAAAGGACCTTTTGAGAACGATTCTATCGACACGTTAAGGAAACTTTTCTAAATTAATCAATTGGAATTTTTCTCTTACAGTTTGAGCATAGGTGGTAGCTCTTGATTATCTTTCGATAAAAAATTCGTTATTTAGTGTGAAATAAAAACATGATAAAACAAACTTTACCAGTCTATAATGGAATACGCGAGGAAATTCTGCCTTTTTAAAAGACAAAAATTTGGAGGCAAAATAGCCGAGACAAAAGTTTTGAAAAAATGACTTATCTACAACTTAATTTATTGATTTCCAGAAGACTCATTGTCATGGATAATTTTAGGATAATTTCTTGCCTTAGAACTTGCATTTGAATATTTGTATTACAATTTATTTATAATTATTATAACAGCATTTGCATATATTCGTCATGACAATGCTTTGTAATTGTTTGATAGTGTGATTATATTTGGCGAAATCAAAAAATGTAATAAATAAAATAAAAACTAAATAAGGTTGCCATATGCTAAAAAAATTGCAATTAGAATAAATAGAATTATTGCTGAGGAAGTAATTTTCACAAATAGTTGAAGTTATCAATTTTATGACCGCTGTAGTAATACTTTACCTGCATTTCGGTTTTGTGACCTTGTGAAATTTTGGAAAAATAACCATTAGTAGTAAGCCATTATAAAAGCTGTTAAGATAATTACCTAACATTTTCGAAAGGTGAAAGGTTTCTGTTTCAATTTTTCTTTTTTTAGAAAATTGTAGTGGAATAATGTTCTTCATATTTCAAGAAGTAGACTCAGAGCAGCAAAGAAATATATGTTTACTACCTTAATGCATGATTTTTGGCTTCATCACAAATTTATATTAACTCAGAGCGACGGCATTTGAGAAGTTAAGCGCTGCATGGTAACAGTGTACCCACACAAAGTAGATATGTGAAATATAATTTTATTATACTTTCGAAAATAGTGCTTTTGCATTAATAATAATTCGCTATAATCAAATTATTGCAATGCAGTTGCAAAATGCAAAATCAAATGCAGTTATAATGATATATTACCGCATTTCTAACTGTTTTGGATGTACAAATTTCACTTCACTAAGATCGTAACTAAAACGCCATTAAAACACTTAAAAGTGCGAAAACCGCACTAAATATCAAACAACACAACGGTTTTGTTATTGTTGCAATAACGTTTAGTTCTGTAAACAAAGCTTTTGCTAATCAAAATATTTTTATTTAAAAGGCCGACTTCAATTCATTCAACAGATTCAATTAGCGTTATAAATGAAATACCCTAAATTAATCTGATTGTCTATTGACCACCTGACGCGTCTGCTTTTCTATAAATAATAGGTGCGCATTCCTCGTTGGTAAAAATAAAAAACATATTTCGAATACCTTTTTGGCCAATTAAATAATCCACTATTGATCGACGCATCCATTGATCGATTCGTCAAAACCCTATAAATATTTCACAGGAAATATGAAAAGGCAGACAATTTTTGATAAGCACAGGTCAGCACAATGCCGAACGAGGACAAACAGTAACAAAACATTGCGCAATGTTCAAATGTGAAATGTTCATAAATGTAAAGCAGTTCTAAGTTCGTTTCCGGACGATACTTCAGTGTTAAAAATAAAATGAAAGGTGTTTTTGTTTTGGAACATCCGAACTCTGAAAGCAACTCTAACTAAATTTAAAAATACTACTTCTCCTAGTCATTTTAAAGGTGTGTCTTCCTGAGAACTTTTTTAATTTGAGATTTCGTTGTTGAGTTATTTGATTTCGAAAATGACGGAAAATAGTAGTTTTTGTTGTTTTCCTTTAAAACGTTAAACGTTAATCGGTTAAATATTGAGACTTCAATTTTGGTATACATTATAAGGTAATTGAGTGCCATTTTATGATAGTGTTTTGTGGTTCAGTTTGCTTTTATACAGGGTAGAAATGTGGAACCCCTACTTTTGTTTTGTTCAGAAATTTTTTGTGTGGACTTAAACTTTTCTCGACATCATTTTTGTAATTACTACAAGATATTTACCAACTTTTTCAGCTCTTATTGTTTTTTCCTAAGACCATTAGTTTGCCCGCAAAAAATAAAATCGTTTTCTTTGCCGTTCTCAAAATCTGTTAGTAATTAAGTAAATTTTTTAAAATCTCATAACGTTTTCATATAACAATTTTGGTACGCATTATTAGTTGCTTACTAACAACCTAAATTATTTTTCTAAATTGTGTATTTTGGTTCAAATTACAATTATTAAGTTTGAATACATTTTACTTAAATAATAACATGGTAACAATATGGGCAACGATATAAACAAACATAATTAAATTGAAATAACCATTCTAGTGTTAACTTAGCAGCTGTTCCAATTGGTCACCTTGATATTCTTGGCATAATCGCAGTGTTTCAATGAAATTAAAATTTACAGACCGTAAAGTTTGCACTCAAGTTCTTATTTCGTTAGAAATATTAACTATTCTTCCACCCTTTTTTTTAATGGTCCCAGAAGTAAAAATCAAGCACGTTTAGATCGGGAGATCTAGGAGGCGAGTTCATAGGAGCTTCTTAACCTCTGCCAACCCAACGGCTTGGAAAGTTTTGATCAAGCAACGATTTAATTTTTTTGCGGGCAAGCTAGTTCCCTTCAGACAAAACAATAAGATGAAAAAGTTGACAAATAACTTGCACTAATTTAAAAAATTATGTTGATAAAAGTTTAAGTGCACACACAAAAGTTCTGAACAAACAAAAATAAGGGTTCCACATTTCTACTTTGTATAAAAGTAAACTGAACCACAAAACACTACCATAAAATGGTAGTGTTTAACCATTTTAAAGAAAAACAAAGAAAACTAATATTTTTTGCCATTACACCCACCTTTTAAATGACTAGCAGAACACGCTGTCACAATATTCTAACATTTTTACGGAACACCCTGTATACCGTAAATAATTTTATAATGCCGATTAAAAAAAAAATGTTGTTATGCTTGAAACTCCTGTTTTAGAACATAATGAAGCGTGATCATTGATTGGGCTTTCCGTGGTGGTCTAATTGTATTGTTCCGCGTTACTCCTGAATTGTACGTTTTGCCTAAATTAGATTATTGTGCTTAGATGAAGATGGAAACAAGTCCTATGATTCCTCGACTTTTTTTTGGTCATTGCTTAAACGTTAACATGATGGAACAAATAATATATCTATATATCTTATACATAAAACATTCAATGGTTTCTTAGAATTTTAATTTTGCTTTACTTGGATTGCATCTCAAAACAATCTAAGTCTTTGTCCAACTGTCAATATCCACAATTATTTTGATTTGATTTATAATTTGATAATCACAAAATAATAAATTAATTACCACAATTTGGATTGATGTTAGAAAATCTGAAATTTGAAACACAACCGGATCTCAAGTAGAATCTAACAGTGGTTTGAAAACACATTTAATGAAAATTTGTTTTTATGTCTATTTCAAGGTAGTGATCCAAACACTTTACGTCCAGTTAAAAAATATAAATTTTACAAGTTCGAAATGGAAATATTGTAGTTTCTTTTAACTGCATCAATTTGTTTTCCAAATTTTTATTTATTTCGGCAGACTCAAATTCCGTCAGACGAACAACTGCGCTGGAAATTGCGCACGTTCGAGTATTACTTGGAGGAGTATGCAACCACTCTAGATATGAAGACGATGGCTCGTGTGTACCTTTGAAAAAAATTCCAAATAATAATTCGAAATCCGGCCGCGTTAGGACTGTAGTGTGCAAATGCTTTTTATATGAAGACAGGGAATGTTCTTTCCAGTTGTGAGGATAGACAGTACTAGTACTGCAACCAACGCTTAATATATAATAAGCAACGCAATGAATTACGTTCCTGTATCTATTTATTATTCTAACAGAATTTGTATGCGAACGAGACATGTATCCCTAATAG